ACTTTGGATCGATTGATCCTTTGTCTCACTGTTCATAATCAGCCATATTCAAACATTAAAGACTAACGGTTAGTTAAATCCTCTCTTTCGAATCATTACACGAACAAGCCTATCTCTAATGCACAGATTGAACCCTAAATACGCCTAGATATTGAGGTTAACGAAACGGATTAATTTGATAGTCGACTTTTTCTCGCAATCAAAGCTTTGTGTAATTGTGGCATATTTTGTAATTTGATGACAAATATATAGATATGTATATATATATATATATATACATATATATATATATATGCATATATTGCATTCAATTAAATTGACAAATTCGCCATTTCTTAATTATTGATTGCTACCTACACGCCTATCAAAAGTTATAAATTGAAATATGCGAGAGAACACACCTATCAATAGTATATCTGCCAAGTTCAAAAGCAACCTTTGTGGAAAACAAGCTTGCTTTATTTGTAATGTGTAGGCAGTGTATTTTGTTTAAATGCATCCGGTTAAAAGCGCGTAATTTTCTTATTCTCCACAATTATGTATGTATTTGTTGGTATTATTTCTACAATATCAAAAACCTTTATGAATATTCATTTTAAAATTATTTAGCATTGTATTTATCTATTGCAATTAAAATATTGATTCCAGCAATAACAGTTGGCGGTAATTTATTTGCATGATTAATAACCCCAAAGCTGAAACTTTTATTTCAATATTTTTTTGATATAGTCGTACCATTTACCGTGGAAACATGGAGTTTTTTTACTAAGTTTTAATGCGCTTAAGCAGCAACTGCCTGTTTCGCTTTGAACTGGTCTTTTCGTAATTTAAACTTATCATTTGTTGTATTCATTTCATTTATTCGTAAATATATCTGCTCATGATTTCAATTTAGCTTAATTCGTCTTAATTTGAGATAGCTCCATTCATCTTTACATCTGCCTCACCAATTTGGCTCTGTTTATTCAAGCTAAATTGCACACACTTTAAAGTATATCATTTATAGTTTTTAGGTCATAGAGGTCACAGTTACTACACTGACCTTTCACATCTTGAGGTCTAGTATTGTTTAACATATTAATTTTTAGGGTTTGAAAATTTAATTGGAAAGGAATTATTTAGCATTAAGGCAAGCATTACTAAACTTTCCCAAAGATTAAAATGGTGCTTCGCGAATTTTAGTTTTTCGGCACCTGCCTTCATTATAAATTCAAGATATTATTTTATCATATTCCAATTCATATGGAATTTTTCCCAAGATCTAGCTAAATTATTCATAAGTTATGATCACTAACTAATTGGATTTCATCTACGCATTATACTGGAGAGCTTTTTATTAAGAGGAAGAAATGTCAAAATGTCTGCTATAGACGCTTTATTGGAATAAATCGATGAACTTATTTAAATGCATTTCACAATCAATTCACCTCCTTCTAGAAGAAAATAGAGATAATTATTAATCAAAATTAACATAAATTTATTTTAAATCACAAAGAGGCAAGTGACCCTTCAATCAAAAATTGAACTTTGTTTGGTTTCAGCTGGATTGACAATACTGACAAAGCGAATCTGACATTTTCATATTAACATAATCATTTAAAATCGAATTATCGCTTTCATTGAAAGTAATATCAAATATTAACATATACAAGCTATTAAATGAGACAATATGGAAGAAAACATTCATAAATGATCTTTGTATTAACAGTAAATATTAAGGAAAGGATACGTGTGCCATTATCCTATATTGGAATGGAATTTGCGCCAACCCTTTTTCTGATCCCGGTTTGAATATTTCAGTAGTTAAAAAATAATATCGTATACAATTTTACCAAACTTAATATATTATTAGTTAAGATTTTACCCTTGTCGTAAGACTAAAATAAAAAAATAATAAAATGTATTGAGTTTAATGGCCGTAATTATAATTTTTTGAGAAATATGAAAAAAAGCAAAGAATGCCGATTGGAGACAGTGGATTTGAAATTGTTAATCACGGGTTTAAAATTGTTTTTTAATTAAAATATAAATTCTATACGTTTTTTAATTTGCATTAATAATAATACATTATGCAAATAATAACTAAAAGTTCATTAAGCAAAATAAAAAAATTTGATCCTTATTAAAATTTATACTAATAAGTTCGCATTTTACAGTCTGCCTTTTATTAGCCAATTTTACGTTATTTAATCATCATTAATGTATATAAATTGAGATTTTCATTACTCAAATCTTATTAAATAGTTACACAAATCACTATTGATTTAGAATTAATTAATCTAGTTGAGAGATTTATCACGTGTGCATTAATATACTTTAATCCCTTAGTACTATTGAAATTATAAAATATTAAATTTAATGCATTTGAAATCAGAACCAATGAATATTAAATAACAATTTCATATGTTTATTTATAATGATTCCCTCATCTACTTCTAATTGAAAATGATGAATTATAATTCTTTTATTCATCAAATGTAAATTTGAGAAATATTTAAAGAGTGACTTTTTAAAACGCTACCAAAAGTGAACAAATTTTTAAAGGCGTTATTGAATTTCGATTTCATAATTAACTCAGTCCTTTTTTAATATTAAATATATTCATTTTTTGGCACATTGTACAGTTTTCTGCAAATTAAGGAAATAATTTTCTTTACATAAATTTATTAATTTGATAGTGAGCCTAATTTAACTTTTCGCAATTTAATTATTAATTTACATTTACTAAAGATTATTTGAATTCCTTCTCCTTTAAAATAAAGCATTATCGTAGTAATAACGCAAGTTCATCACAATAGGAATGACGTGGAAATCCATTTAGTCAGATTTGTGTTCCATAGGTTAAAGGCAAAGGGCCGAATCAGGTTAATTTCTTGCAAAATTTACATAATTCAAATGTTTTCTTTTAATATATTTCATCATCCATTCCTTAAATCTAGCAGTCTGTGAAATCCAGTACCTTCGTAGTTGCGGCATGGTTTTATAAAGGGTGAAATTGCTTTTGAGTATTTTATTTAAGACTTAAATATTAAATACAGATTTAAATTATGTGAAAGTCTTTATTGCTCTAGAAAACTGAAAAACTTTCATCCAAACTACTTGGTCATATCTTAATTTATGAACTAATTTAATATATGTGTGTCCTTTTAAAATTAATTAGATTTTGTTCAACTTCAAAGAGGAGATTGAAAATAATTGCATTTTAATATTTTATTTTCAAAATTGGAAAATTGAGAAGCTACTGCGCATTCCCATGGACAAGTTCTTCGGCACCTATGAGAATAAACCAAGACATCTGAAAACGCAATCTGGTCTAATACAGAAAGCCATAGAACTGAAGAAAGCATTACAAATCGATGACAAACCAAAAAGCCTCACTCTCCCCATGAACCCATTAGCAGACACTGATGTAGTGTGTTGCACCCAACTGCTCGACTTCTTCAGGAAATCAAACACCCCTCCAGAGCAAATGCGCTCACTGGCCCTTGAGACAATCAATGTCAACTATCCCGCAGATCAATGGCTCCAAGTCTTCACTGATGGGTCATACACAGAAAACCAAGCAAACGTTGGTGCAGGTGTCTATTCTGAACTCTTCTCTTTCTACGCAGCAGCAGGGCACAATAGATCCGCTTTTGAAGGAGAAATAGAAGCCATTAGGATAGCACTATGCCAATTATGTTGCCTGGATACGAAATTCACCAAAGCGGTGATACTTTCGGACTCACAGTCAGCAATAGACTTTATTGGAAACAGAGAGACACCCAAAACAGCTGAGATAAAGGAATGTAGAAAACTCTATGGGCTGCTGAGAGGGAAAAACAAAACAGTGGTCCTACAATGGATTCCTGATCATTGTGGCATTAAAGGCAATGAGCTTGCTGACACACTTGCTAAGAAGGGGACAACGATTTTGCAACGCATGGACCGGCCGATGTCTTTCCACACAATGAAGGCCTTAATCAGGAGAGAATTCCATACCTCAAGGTGTAACGAAATTAAAGCTGGAACAAAGGAGAAACAATGGACAGTGGCACTCTCCGACATACCCGACTGGCCAAGAATCGAAGCCGTTGCTGAGTTTAGACTACGTACCGGACACGATTGCTTGGCAAAACACCTTCACAGATTGGGAGTATACACTCAACCTACATGCCCTCTATGTAACCTACTGGAGGAAATGGAGAAGACCCACCTGATTGGGTGTCCAGCTCTAAAGACAAGGACGGAAAGCCAAAGATACTGGAAGGCAAGAAGACAGCTAATGAATTGCTATTAATTAACTGCTATGAATGTACCCCCCCCCCTCCTCCCTTGGGGGAAGCTGAAGTCAAAGATTAAGGGCTAATGATAAATATCATAAAGCCTGCCATTTGAAATAAATAAATAAATTTTCAAAATTCGGAAAAATTTATATTAAGAGTGCCGAAAAGGCAGGAATATACTTTTCACTGAAGAAAATGTTGGAATATTTTTTAATATTTTACTTAATGATTTTTATTATTAATGTGCAATTTTATAACCCAGTCTAGATCACTTATTTGTTGCCATATTTTTCGACTACAAATAAAAGGACAAATTTAACTAGAGGACCAATTAACAAGATCGCGAAAAGTGGAAATCATTAAATAAAAATGAATTATTTCATTTACAAACTGCGTTTATTATTTACCACTAAAATAAAAGTTACTCAAATTTATCTCCTCTTGTTTTGAAAGTTAAAATTGATAAATTAATTTTTATCACAATTTTTAATGTGTTTTTCTAATCAGAATGTCCCCGACGGAGTAATTTACCCAATTTTGGCACTTCCGTTGCCCAAAACTGCTTTGTACCATTGCCCACAAATAAAAAGCCAATTAAATGATAGAAAACCATTTTCATGGAATTAAACTGTCCTCTGTACATAACGTCAAGTATACTTACAAGGGAACTCAAAAATAACAAATCATTTATACAGATCATTAACATGCGTTTTAAGTCTACAATTGCTGTATGTTCTATTTTGATAATGAGCATAGTTGACAACTCACAAGTTTAAAGCAAGCATAACAATCATCTTGCCATCGGTGGATCATTTTTCTGAATGTCGCTCGGAATCGTTGACCCAAGAAGCAGTAAAGCACCGTGTTTATGGAAGAATTCACCAGAACCGAAAACTGACATATAGCATAAAAATCATCATAGTTTGGTATAGTTTCCTTCGGCTCACTCATAAATGCAATGATAAGGTTGTCAATCATGGGCAATGATTGAAAGGCGATAAAGACAGATACCAGACAAAATAGTCGGCCAGTGACCCTTGCTCTAGCATGAGTCATTCGAACGTTTGACTTATCTTTTACTGACCCACGTAGCCCACGAAATGGTATTTCTGAAAGTTCCGATCGACCATCTTGTAAAATGCTGAGATTTTGATCTCGCCTGATATTAAAAGGAGTGCTACTTCTCTCCTGGTTATCATCCTTCTTTTCAGCAAATTCTTGCCGAACCCGATGTAAGAGACTTCCTAATCGGGCGTTTAGAACAGAGACAATACCCACTGGGATCACAAAGATCCCAAAAGTATACCCATATGAAACATAGAGCTTGACGTACAAATCCTGTTCTCCGAGACGTGTTTCTTCTATTATCTCGCAATTGCAGGTGGAATTAAAAATGCGAAGTTTGAGAGGAATATGCTCAAAGACCCGAGGAAGATTGCAAATTACAGCAAATGCAAAGATACAGCTCACCATTATTTTGGCAAGTCGCCGAGTTCGGAAAGAATGGAGCCCAAATGGATGACAGATTGTTATATATCTGACAATAGAGAAAAGAACCACTGTATAAACGCAAGATGTTTGAGAAATTAGAGCTAAGGGGTAGATGACTTTGTAGTATACAGAATTATCCATCCAATCATTCACTTCTTTTGATGCCAATACAGGAATGCTAAAGCTGATAAAGTAGAAAAATATCAAAGCAGCATCAGCGACAGAGAGAAATTTCAGGAAGACACTGGAATTTATACAGGTAAGCTGTGGTTGTGATAATGTTTGGAGAGTGAGCAGATTTCCTATGAAACCGAGAAATGCTACGGGACATGAGAGGGGTCCAAATATCAGCCAGTGTGAATAAATAATTTCTCTGTGCGCTATTGAGGAGTTGATCTTTGTCGTCATTTTGTATATGATTCAGAATAGGCAATGATAAATCAGTCCATTATGAACATCATTTAATTGGTGGGGATTGTGGCAACTGCATTGGCCAAGTGCATTCCAAAAAGATACTTTGGTGTGCCCCAATTGGACTTAGGACTGGAACGCTCTCATTGGCTCGTCAGCATTTGTAAATTTTGACAATATATTTTAAATCAACTTAATTCAAATTCACATTGCACTAATTTCAGATAAATGACAGAATTTCCGAAAACAGAAGTACCCATATAATTTAGTTGATTCGTCCATTTTCACATAAAGTATCCGCGAAGAAGTAGGTCTAGATTTTAAATTGAACATTTCCACAAGGAAATGAAAGTAGAATTTCGGGATTTTATTCAAATTCACTTTAAGCACTAATCAACCTTGAGAAAATTCGGTTGGGAAGATTTAAGACTTTGGATTTCAGCACATTTCCATTGTTCTAAATGTTGGTCCATAACTGGCTGTCAATAAACAATGGTTGTACCCAAAGTGCAAAAGAATTAGGTTAGTGGCGGTACCACCTTTATGGGCCAAACAAGCAACATGATTAATTTAGTCTTGACTGTATAACTCGGCAAAGTAATTGCAATACTACTAAAATATCTCTCAAAGTAATTCGCCAATGCCAAAGTAATCAAGCAATTAATTTCACCCCACAAGTTTTCCAAAATTATTTTCAAATAGTGCAATTTTTTCAAGAATTTTTTTTGGGTTATCTAAAGTCTGAAAATCCCCTCTATCTTACAATGAGCTTGGTTCACAAACCCCCTTCCCCCCTCTCTCTATTCATCTCTTTTTAATTTTTTTCCAAATTAGCGCCTCTTCTTGAATTTTTTCGCAATTATGCATTACAGTTTTATTTACTCTGAATCCTTACATTTTGATTTCAAAGATTCACCTGATCACTTTTTACATTTGACCTGGGTTAATCCCTACATTGGACATTTGAATTGCGTTGCAAATGATGTCAAATTTTGTGAGATTGACAGTAGTCAAAGAAAGTACTAATCAATACAGGTAACTTTTATTTGAGACTTCTTTATAGACAAGTTAGAAAGCACTGAAATTTATTTATCCAATTCGACAAAATGCAGTGAAATTTTTCTGCATAATCAAGGTGGGCGGATCATTTAATGACTAGCTAAGAATGACTACTGTAAGCACAATTGGGTCACCATAGAAGGAATCTGTATTTCCATAACATCTGCAGTCTCTACTTGTGCTGGTTGGGGTAGAAGTTTTATTTGTTTTTTTGGAAATGAAAATGTTGGCACAAACCAATCCTGACAGTTTGACTGTTATCAGTCTGGCAGTGCCTTGACCTCCAAACGTCAAGTGCACGAAAATGACTTGTTTTCGATGTGACCAATCTCTTTTGCCGAGTCTGATTCAACCCCATCAGCTAAAACCGAACTACATAGTCTTTCTTTATAAATATCTTCAGTTCATTCACTGCCATATACATCAAAATTGATTAGACCAACGAGATGCGATCTAAAGAGTACTTTGATACTTACGGTTTTAATCTATTGAAAAAAGGCTTGACTTGATTCATAAATGAAAGCAAAATCTGTATAAGCGGAAAGGTTAAATCATCTGTAAAGTAAATGAACGCGTGACTACATTTAATTACTTGCAAATTTTATGAAAACGGTTGATGGAAATGAGATCATTCATTTGCTACATATGGCTAATTGATTGTACTTGAAATTAGCTAATCGGCTGGAAAATTCATAAGAGTGAAAAGCATAACGCATAGTTACAATAATATATTGAATACATGGCTTCAACCGCAAAGTTCATCAAAATGGAAATTTATGCTTTCAGGGCTAAATTCGTGATATTTAACAGTAAATGGAAAATATTTGGTTGCAAATAGGCAACATTAAAATGTAAATATTTAAAGAAAATAACTGGTAGCTTGACCCATACGAGACGTCAGAAAGCTGTGCGAATGGGTTTTAGGTCCAAACACATGACAATCTTTATAGTTAATTTCTAAAGGTCAAGCTATGCCAGTGGGCTTAGAAAATGGCCCATAATTATGTCGTGCGAAGTAAAATAGTACTTTGTAAGAAAGCCACCTAAAATAGGAAAAACAGTTGGCAGGTTGGGATGGAAGTCATTAGCTAAGTATTTGGAATTGCTCAAGCAGGAAATAGGCAAAGACGTAAAGAGGAAAGTCCGTTTCGCAAAAATATTCAATTACTGCAAAATATCAAGGGAGAAAAAATATTCTACTTGCCTCGAAGACCCGAAGAAGGTGTCAGAGATGATAAGCAAGCAGACTAATTGGAAAGAATTCTAAAATTTTGATTTTGAAAAGTGGAAATTGCGGAAACAATTGATAAGATTTATATAGATATGTATACATACAGGGTGTCCCAAAAAATTTATAAACCTTGAAACTAAATGTAAACTGGCGTTCAGTTAGAATTATTTTATTTCGAAAAGGTAAAAATATTTACAAGTATAATTTATTTTTTTCCCTGCTTATTCTCAAATTGACGTGCATTTTAAACCAGACACTGCTGACAACTTCAAGCAAAAATGAACGCAGAAATAATGAAATAATTCACTTGGGATTTGGACGCATTCATGCTCAATGGCTTCTCTTAATTCGGTGAATGTTGGAAGTTTCGCAGAGTAGATTTTGCTTTTAAAGTATTCCATAAGAAAATTTCTAGTAGTGTGAGGTCTGGTGAACAGGGAGGATATTTAACAAAACTTCATTGTCCAATTCACCTGTTTGGCAAGACCTCATCAAGGAAAGACCTAACATCGCGATGATGATGTGGGATGCTCCCTTCTCGCTGAAAATAGAACTCTTCTTCTTCTTCAAATTCTTCCCTTACGCTTGATATAACAGACTGCTGCAGAAAGTTCAAGATACTGGGACCGGTTACAGTAGTGTCAAAAAAGGATGGTCCAATTAATCCTCTTGAGAATGAACCGCACCACACTGTAATTTCAGGAAAATAGACATTACGGTCGATAGAAACGTGTGAATCCTCAGGTCCTCAATAGGTGCAATTATAATGATTGATGTAACCATTTAAATTGAAAGTGGCTTCGTCACTCCACGCAATCTTTCATCACATTGTTCTAAATACTACTCGCAACACTGTACTCTTCAGTCTGTAACATCGTCATCAAATAACAAAAATTATCTTGTAATTATTTTTGTCCATTTGAAATAATGGAATAATAATAAATACAATGGTCGCAACTATTTTATATTTGCATACATTTTTGGATATCCTGTATATATATATATCGATCACTTTGTTAAAATTGCCATAAATCTAGCTTTATTTGAAAGCATGTTTCCTTATTAAAAGGATATATATTTCTCTTATTTTTGAAAACAAATGCCAGATTATGTTTATTTGACGCGGTTGACAGAAACAGTGCTGAGTTGAGTGATCAAATTCTAGACTTTTTCAATCCGTATTTTTCAGCAGAATCAGGTAAGTTTATTGCGGAGAATGCGAAATCTCCAGAGATCGAGAGGTGACACAAATTCACAAATCCCCTAAGTCAATCATGACACCCAAATGCCCTTAAGGTACGTCTTTCTCCCAAAATTATTCAAGGCATCTACGCTGCAATATTTCAACGAATATTCATATTTATTGAATTATTGGCACAGACCTTTTTGACCAATATTTTTCTTGAAGGTTTGGATGGTAAGCAGCTACAAAGTGCTATTCGAAAAGATCTAACAAAGGAACACACCACAATTCAAGAGGTTGTTAACTTAGTGTCATAAATATAATTTGATTTGACCAGTTCATGTCTTTATCCTGAACAAATTTGGCAAGACAATGAGCTCTCTTTACGAAGGATTTTGTGGATTTATGACTTGAACTTTAAGAAAATCGTTTTTTCCCACCAATTCACTTTACCATTCTCGCCTTGCTCGTTTGCTCGTCTTAGATACATCGTTCGATGTTTTTTTCATTTTGATTCATTATTACACATTTACTACTCACTGTCCATGAGGCAACATAAAAAATAGATTATTTTCCACTATGAATACGTGATCTTACATAGGAAATAGAAACCTTTCCAGCAAAATGTTAGATGCGGATGACAAATAGAAGGGAATATAAATTGAGCTCTACAACTTGGCGTAATTCAAAGAAAGATCATTCAAAAATTCTGATTTCCACAGCCGTAGAGATGCCGTAATACCAAGTGATCCATGAAAGTAAAGATCATATGTCTTTTAAATGATTGAAAAAATTTCAGCAAGAATTTTTAAATAAGATAAATTTTTAAGCCATTCAATAATGCTGAAACATCAATTTTGAGACACCAACCTCTTAGATGAGAGAGAGGAGGGTTAGATATGTATAGAAAAGTCGGTGGAACCGTCATCTAAATTATCAATTCGGATATGAAACAACTGAATCAGAAAATGATGATCGGAAAGTTAGTGCATATTTACCTTGATCTTCAATACAGCTGAACGCTACTTTTTTAAATTATGCTTAAGTGTGAATTTCATAATGCCACTTTCGGAACATATTGACCATTGTTTATTGTCAATCATTAGTCATTATAAAAATAAATACTATATCAAGAATAGGCTTTGTAGAAAATGATGCATTCCATTCAAATTCAAGTGCATTGAAAAAGATGATCCTTCTTTTCATGCTATTTCTTGTTGTGCATTTTTCACGAAGTTTATATTCGTTCAACCATTTCCCATTCCCTATGTTAAGAAACTTTAATTTAGGACGAGTAAAATGAAGGCACACACATGCAGTGGGAAGGAATAGCAGAAAAAAGTCTGAATTATCTGTTCCTTCTTTACAAGCTTGTATCGAAAGCTAAAACCATTCAAGAATTAATCATTCCAACATTCTAGTAATCTGCATCTGGTATTTCAATTTTGCTGTTTGGCATGATGTCTTACCATGTTCCGCTTGCAATAGTCCAATTAATTGCAGGAAATAAAGTTACTGTTAGTC